GGTGATCAAGAAGGGGGGGCCGGCCGTGGTCATTGTGTGACGATGGTGATGATGATGGTGATGGTGATTGAGGAGGTGGGGGCGGCCGTGGTCATTGTGCGGTGGTGATGGTAATCGAGAAGGCCGTGGTCATGGTGTGATGATGATGATAACGATGGTGATCGAGGAGGTGGGGGCGGCCGTGGTCCTGGTGGTGATGGTAAGAATTGTAACGGTGAAGGTGGTGGTGGTGGAGATGATGGTGATGGTGGTTATGGCCGTGGTAGTGACAGTGGTGGGAGAAGTTGGTGACTGTGATGACTGTGACTCCGTTTACTGAGCTGGTGCTCTTGTCTCCCTGCAGGTGGCGTGCCCTGATGAGTACCAGGCGAACAAAGCCCTGGAGGAGGTAAATCTCTGTGGTTCTCTCTGGAGGGGTGATGGCTCAGAACGCAGATTAGTCTGTAGCTCTGGTAGAGGGGCGGGGCAGAGGGACGCCTGGATGGTGGACGGCGTGGGGTGAACACTCTTGTCCCAAGCTTGTTAACCAACAGCCCCAAGAGAACAGGATGTATGTGTCCATGTATGATATGTGTCTAAATCTAGGTGCCATTGACTCTGAGTACTTGTTCTCAGAGAAGATAAATTTTAAATATTGATTCTGTCACCCGGCTAACCTTCCAGTAATAACCTTTGTCCAAAGAATATATTCTCTTAAACTGTAAGAGTATTAATTACAGTAGAAAATATAACACAACTATTTAACAAAGAAGACTTAAATGACTCTTAATTCCACCACTAAGAAATGGTCAGTGGTAACATGTGGTTGTTGTTGTTATGTGCCATCAAGTTGCCTGAGACTCATAGCAACCCTATGTACAACAGCCCTAAACTCTGCCCTGTGCTGTACCAATCTTACTGTCTTTGACACACCCACCCCCATTACCCCAGTCACTGGGTCAATCCATCTCATTGAGGGTCTTCCTTTCCTGTGCAGTTCCTCCACCCTCCCAAGCATGATGTCCCTCTCCAAGGACTGGTCCCTCCTTGCAACATGCCCAAAGTATGTCAGACGAAGCCTCAGAATCCTTACTTCCAAGGAGCAGCCTGGCTTCACCCTCTCTAGGACAAACCTGTTTGTTCTCCTGGAAGTTCATGGTATATTCAATACTCTTCTCCAGCACCACAGCTCAAAGGCATCAATTCTCCTTCTATCAACCCTGGTCATTGTCCAGCTTTCCAATGCATAAGCACATAATTGCAAAGACCAACAATAATATCAAGAATGAAAACAAGCCAAACCATTGAGTCTGTCCAGGCTCCTGGCGACCCTGTAGAACACAGTAGAACTGTCCCTTGAGGTCTCCAGGAGCCTCAGCTCACAGGACCAGGCTGGAAAATCTTCCTTCCACAAAGCAGCTGGTGGGCTAGCCATGCCAGCTTTAACCACAACATCACCAGGCCTCTGTGCGACACTTAACGTTTGATCGACAAAATCAGCGCTAGGTTGTTTCTCCTCACTTGTTTCGGATTTCACCCGAGGTCAGCATGCCCTCTAGAGCTTGACCCTTTGGAGTTGCCAGTTCTTGAGTTTGACAAGTGTCGTTTGAGTCTGCAGTGCGTGGGCAGAGCGATGTGCCACCCCAAGGCGGTATTTGACCACAGGGGACTGGAAGGTGTCAGGTTCACACTCTGTCTCCTCACCCTCCCAGCCTGCCCTTGTCCTTGAGCCTTTTCAGTGTGACCCACACCCTCAGTTAGCATTGTCCCTCAGGGCCTGCTCTCTGCTGTCCCCTGGAGCTGGCTTTGGCCTTCTCCGCAGCTGTGGGCAGTGTGACCTCGGCTGCCAAGAGGGCGGTGGGTGATCCAGGCATCCTGCTTCCTCTTGCCCTGTCCTCAGTCTTGAGGAATGGACACCACTGTCACATGACCCAACCAGCCCTTGCCGGACGCCATCCAGCTGCCCACTGCCATGCTCGCAGCTGGACACTGGCTTTTCACTGGGGCCTGAGCAGGGGAGACATTACCTGGGACAGCCTTTCTGGAACTTCTCTCCTTCCTGCAGCTGATGCCCGTGCTGAAACTTCAGCACCCTCACATCTCCATCTACCATGAGATGTTCATCACATGGGACAGCCAGGTGAGTTCCCTGAATGGCCAGTGCAGGGACACCAAGTGGGACTACCCCTGAGAGCACCCCCAGGGCCAGGTAGCCCACGAGGGCTTCCTGAGCAGCATAATCTCCTGTGAACCCCTGCAGCCTGTATGGTTTCTGTACCCATTTCACAGAAGGAAAAACATAGTCTGAATACAGTGAGCTCCTCCAGGTTACCCAGCTAGAAAGCAGGGGACAGAAGACAAGCACCCTGCTTGCTCAGCTGCTCCTGTCCCCAGCAAGCACTCGAGGGTGACTTCTCAGGGGGACCCAGAGCTGCAGGCTGCCGGTCCCGGGCCCTCCTGGCACCTTCCCTGGCGGCTCCTGCACGCTTTACATAAAGAGCACATACACAACTGCACTGGCCACTCAGTGAGAGAAAGACGGGCTGTCCACGCCCGTAAAGAGTTCTAGCCTCCGAATCCAGCTGTGGTGGTCAGTGGGATGGGCCAGTGGAAGTGGGTCTGGGATCCGGCACAGTCTGCAGCCTGCGTCATGTCCACTGTCAAGACCTAGAAGTCCTAAGGCAGGCTTCACTCTGGCCCTGGGGCTCAGAGAAGTCATGCAGGTGTCCAGGTGCACAGCTGTGCAGGTCCACAGCTGTACAGGTCCACAGCTGCCCTGGTCCACAGGGACACCGGTGTACACCTGCACAGGCACACAGGTGCACATACAGCCACACTGCCTCTCTCAGGCGGTACCAGCTCATGTCTTTAGAAGGAATTCGAAGTTTTGCAGTCTAGCTGGGCCTGAGGCAGAGGGGACTTGAGCCCCGAGGGACTTAGTCAGGGAGGGACACTGGCATGTGACCCACCTTCAATGACCATCAGAGGTCCACATGAGTGTTCCCAACACAGGCTGGCAGCTGAGGGGCTGAGCAGGAAAGGAGGGCCCCTCACAGCCATACCCCTCCCCCTCCATCCCAACCCACAGTCCTCAAGTCGGTTCTGATGCCTGTGACCCTGCAGGATGGAGTAGAACCACCCTGTAGGGTTCCCAAGACCATACACTCGTACAGAAGCAGACCACCTCATCATTCACCCAAGGGACAGCTTATGGGTTTGAACCTCTGACCTTTCAACTAGTAGCCGGCACCTTAATCACTGTACCGTCAGGGCTTCCCCTTCCATTAGACCTGGACACACTCCCAGGCCCCCTCGTTCCCGCAGGCACCCCCGGGTGCTCTCGTGGTCACTTCACTGTAGAGGGCTCCATGGCCCCTGTCTGCTGGGCCTGGTTCCTTGTCCGAGGATGAGGGCTCCCAGCAGGTGAGGGAGGGCGGGGGGTGTGGAGCTATGTCACTGGCCAGAGGCACCGAGGCTCTGGACAAGTCCATGGAGCTTGTGGGACAGGAGATGGGGCTGACAGTGGAGGCTGCCCACAGAGAAGGGCCCTCGGCACTGGGGAGGCCAGAGGAGTGGAGGCCTGGGCTGTCTGTGGGAATTGTAGGACCCAACAGAAGGCCCCACTTGTCCCCAGATCTCCTCAATGTTCCTCCATCTGGTGATGGACTACAGCGAGAACGACTTACAGAAGGTCATCATGAAGAAGAGGCAGACCAAGGCCATTATTGACTCTGAGGTGAGGCCCTGGGCTTGTGTTCTCTGCCCCCCCGGTGTGGACAGAGCTGCCTGGGGGGCGGATGCTGCTGGAGGCTGGCAGGACTGGTTCCTCCCAGGTCTGCATTAAGCAGTGTGAACTAGTGAGTGTGCACATAGGCTGCACCCAGTGATGAGTGTGCACTGTGAGCACACCTCAGCTGTGTACTCTTACACGTGCATACACCCAGTGAGCTCACTCGAGGCAGCGCACGCGGAGAAGTCACGAAGGTTCCAGGCAAGGTCCACCTTTGTCCCTGTGATGATCTGTGCTGGAGAGGAGGAAAGAGCCCAGATTCTAGCTTGTTCTGTAGAAAACGAAAGTAACTCATTGCCATCAGATAAGACCTGTCGCATAGCTGATCCTCCAGTGGTCAGTGTCAACGCTGTAGAGCGCATGACAGGAGATCGCCCAGAGGAACAGATGGTGGATTTGAACCCCCAGAGAGGTACCAGCCGTGGGTCAGCATCTCCCTGCGGACAGCTCAGATCCTTTGGGACGTAAACAGGACAGAGACATGCTGTTCATCACGAGAGGAGGCACGAGTACAGTATCCAAGCTGTCCCCGTGAGTCATGGCCACGGCTTCTTTCTAAGATTGGCAGGTGAGTGGCCAGATCATGAGTGTGGTGGGTACAGCCGCGGCAGGAGGTCGGCAGAAGCCAGAGGCTGTGGTGAAGACACACGCATCACCCTTTTAGACTACACATGGTTGTGCTGGGATTCTTGCTGAGACTCAAACCAGCCAGAATGCACCCTGACTAGCCCTGCATCTCCCTGTGAGCCCCAAAGGTAAACTGTTCCTTCCACTTCAGACTCACCTGCAAGTAAAAATGTTGCTTAAGATTATTCAAAAAATGTCTGGAAGGCAACGTCAGCAGGCAACTTCCAGAAATTCAAGCTGGATTCAGCAGAAGCCTTGAAACGGGATATTGTTGCTTATGTCAGAGGGATCTTGGCTGTAAGCAGAGAATATTAGAAAGATGTTTGCTTGGGTTATGTCGACTATGCAAATGCATTTTACTGTGTGGATCATAACAAGTTGTGGACAACACAGCGAGGCATGAAGATCCCAAAACACTGAGCAGTGCTCGTGTGAAACCTACACATAGAGCTCTATGTCTGTATAAACCTGTATGTCAGCTGTCAAAGCTGTTGTGTCATAGGGCAAGGGAGCAGCGCGTGGTTTAAGATCAGGACAGGTGTGCATCAGGGATGTCTCTTTCCTCCATACCTACTCGCTCTCAAGGAGCTGGACTCTGTGAGGAATGTAGCCTCTGGCTCGGAGGAGAGTCAGCGACAGTCTGTGTGATGCAGGTGACGCAGCCTCACTAGGTGAAGGTGAAGAAGACTTGGAGAACATGGTGTGGGTCACATCTCAACAGCAAGAAAACCAGCGTGCTCACCGCTAGACTAATTGGCAACATCACGATGCTGTTATTGTTGTAGACTGTTGAGTCACAACAGAGTCATAACTGACCCCCCAGCAGGTTCCAGAGGCCATAAGTCGCACAGGAGGAGACTGCCCACCTTTCCCCAAAGAGCAGCTAGTAGATTTGAACTGTGTGCCCTTGGGTTGGCAGCACAGCTCCTTACAACTCAGGCACCAGAGCTCCCTCAGCACTGTGAGAGAGGGGAAAAGACCGAAGTGATTAAAAGTCTCATTTTACTTGGATCCACAATCAACACCTAGGGTGACAGCTGTCAAGAAATCCGATGTAGTGCGTTTGGAAAATCTGCTGTCAATGACCTCTCCAATGTGCTAACAAGGGAGGAGACTGAGGAAAGCCATGGTCTTTCAGTTACTTCCGAGGCATCTGAAAGTTGGAAAATGAGTAGATGACAGAACAATGCATGCCTTTGAGCTGCGCTGTTGGAGAAGAGCACTGACTATCGACGGATGCCTAAAGAAACAAGACTGTCCAGGAGGAAGTGCAGCACGGATGCTCCTCGGAGGCAGGACGGTGAAACTGTCTCACACTCTCTGGCCGTATTGTCAGGAGCTGGTCCTTGCAAAAATACATCTTACTGGGGTGCTCTGGTGGCCTCGTGGCAAGAAACTGCGCTGCAATCCCAGAGGCACACGGTTCCAATCCACCAGAAGCTCCGCTGGAGGAGGGTCAGTCTCCTCCTGTGCCAGTTGGATCCCACTCGGCGGTACACAAGAAAAAAAAAACATCCTACTGGGAGAGGTGGAGAGTGAGAGAGAGAGAGAATCTGCACAAGCGGATACACAGTGACTGTAATCACGGCCCAGCAGGGCGGAGACTGTGAGCAGGTGCAGGTGTTGATGGACCACACCTTACAGCAGGCTCTCCGGGAGGCTGTGATCCCATCTCAGCTGCACTGTCTCTGGTCAGGAAGGACTCAAAGCCTCGCCATGACTCAGAACGAATGAGGGTCCTATTCAGACCCCAGTCTCCTGTAAATCAGTGCTTAAGATTTTAAGCATACTTCGGGATGTTGCTAGGAGGGGCTATTCCTTGGAGAGGGACATGA